CTTTCTTTCTTTCTTTCTTTCTTTCTTTCTTTCTTTCTTTCTTTCTTTCTTTCTTTCTTTCTTTCTTTCTTATAATTTTTTATTGAGGTGTTTCCCACTTTCTGCTGATATAAAACCATTTGATCCAAGGCATTCCCTCCCTCCTTTTCCCCCCCGCAGAGCCAAACATGGAAAAAGTGAACATGCTGTCAGTGACTGTGCTGGGTCTGCGAGTTCTGCTTGCCAAAAGCATCGCCTTCAACATGCTCATGACGGTCAAGTTGTTCATTTTCTGAGGTAGGAACTCTTACTATCATAGTGTTCATTTCGGGGTTTAGGGGGTCATTGTTAGTGATTTTCAAAGGACTTTATGGCAGTTTTGGGATACGAAATCCCATTGAAAGCCAATGGGAGTCAATGGGCCAGATCTCCAGCTGGTATAATTCAGCCGTAACTCCACTGGAATCGATGGAGAGATCCCCAAAAGGTATACATTGTCTGCACACCCACTGATTCCATTTGCGGATGCAGATTCTCAGCAGCCTTCAGAAAGGAGGGCCGTGGTCAGGCGCCCAGAATGAGAGGTTGCTTTTGGAAATGTTGGCCTACGATGCCCAAAGTCACCCAGAAAGCCTGAGAATCGAGCACAGATCTTCTGTCTCAGACTCTGGGCCATCAGCCATTACAGATCATCACCAGAGCGTAGACACCGGAGTGCCGGTTAGTGAAATGGACAGTGTCCACAATGTCTAACCACAGATCTATCGTTTTCATAGGTTGTGACGAGTGAACCAGCAACGGGCTGAGGCCAGGAGACAGGGACCAGTGCCAGAGACTTCAGTTGGGGCAGATTCCCAACTGGTATAAACCAGTGTAACGCTATTGGAGTGAGTTGGAACAAATCCCCAACTGCTGTCAATCGGCGACTTCAATACGTCTATACCAATTATCACCTTCTCCGGATTTGTCCCCAGATCTTCTTTTCCATGTTTTAAATTATTCAATTTTTTCTGTCCCCTTTCCCTTCATTGCTAGTTAGTTCTGACTCTTAACTGATGTACCACAAGATAGTAAGTACTTGTATTCTTTTTCAGTCTTCTGTTTAATAGGAATATTTAGCGGGAAGTTTCCCTACCACAGTATTACACTGAGGCTTCCAAATCTCTTAGGCAGCTTTGCAAAATCTCAGTTTGATTTTTTCACTATATAAAAATACTGTTTTATTGCTTAGAAAATCCATTCACAGCTGAAGGATGTTATCATTTTAGTGTAGAAAATTTGCTCCAGGTCTGTCACTGGTATAAATTGGTACAACTCCATTGACTTCAACAGAGCTGTGCTGATATACACCAGCTGAGGATGTATTGACATATGTATTCACATTATTTTTAATAGCCAGTAATTTCACCTTGGAGATCTGTGCATTTATATGGAACCGGTGGTTGTTGCTTTCAGTGCTTACTACTGAAATAATAAAGGTGATTGTGTAAAAGGAAAGAACGACCTTTTCTTTTATCCTCTGTCTCCAGTGATTCTGAATTTATTCTAGTCATGGGTGAGTGGTTGGGTCTGAGCTAATCACCAAGGATTTTATTCAATGGCCACTGAAGTCCAGAAATCCAGGGGTTACAGCCATGAATTTCTGTGAATTGAGTTCATCTGTCTGTGGACTTGTTGGAAGAAAAACACTGCACAAAACTGTTCCCACTTTCATCACTAAGGGTGGGATTTTGAAAATTGCATTTTGTAGTTACAGAGTAGCAGCCGTGTTAGTCTGTATCCGCAAAAAGAACAGGAGTACTTATGGCACCTTAGAGACTAACACATTTATTTGAGCATAAGCTTTCGTGGGCTACACTCTATATGCATCCGAAGAAGTGGGCTGTAGCCCACGAAAGCTTATGCTCTAATAAATTTGTGTGTCTCTAAGGCGCCACAAGTACTCCTGTTCTTTTTATAGTTAGGTGAACAAAGTCCACTGAAGTCAATGGGGACTATGCTCCTAATCCACGTAAACACTTTTCACAATCCAACCATGGAGGTATCATGAAGAAAAAG